TTAAATTAATATTAATTATATATAAATACATAAATTATATATAAATAATTATAAATAAATATTAACAAATTATACAACTATCAATTTGATATTTTTATTATTTAATATTTACATCATTTTAAATATTAATAAAAATTTTTATTTTTTTAGCAAAAAATATTTCAACGAATGGTTTTTATTCGACATATTCTAATCGTGCAATAATAAAACAATTTAAACAATACGATATGAAGGTTCAAATATTACCTGCACTTCAAGATAATTATATGTATTTAGTACGTATTTTTTTATTTTTATCTTATTTTATATTAATTATTACTTTTATTATATATATTAATATATTAAATTATTAAATTTTTTTTATAATTATTTAAAATTACTATTACTACATTTTATAATATAATATCTGTCATAATTTTTTATTACATATTTATTTGATATTTTGTAATTTTTAAAGATTATTGACGAAACATCACAGGAAGCTGCAATCGTTGATCCTGTTGATCCTGATACTGTTGCTTGTGCAGTCCAACAAAATAATGTATCTTTAACAAAAGTTCTAACTACTCATCATCATTGGGATCATGCTGGAGGAAATATAAAGTTATGTAAAAAATTTAATAACCTTCAAGTATATGGTGGAGATGATAGAATAGAGGCACTTACATGTAAAGTAAAACATAATGATATTTTCAACATTGGAAAATTACAAGTTCAATGCCTCTCAACACCATGTCATACAACTGGACATATCTGTTTTTATATTACAGAAAATCAAGATACTCCAGCAGTTTTTACAGGTAAAAATATAAATTATTATTTATATTTATTTTTTTCAAAAATTGATTAAAATATAAATATTGATATTCAGGAGATACTCTTTTTGTTGCTGGCTGTGGCAGATTTTTTGAAGGTACTGCAGAACAAATGTATAAAGCACTTATAGAAATTTTGGGATCATTGCCTAATGAAACTGTAAGCATATAATCATATTCAGATTTTTGTGATATAAAATAATTCTTAAAAAAAACAATATATATATTTTGGATATTTTATAGAAAGTATATTGTGGTCATGAATATACAGCAAATAACTTAAAATTTGCAAAACATGTAGAGCCAGAAAATGAAGCAATTCGTCAAAAAATAGAATGGGTTCGTATACAACGTGAAAAGAATAATCCTTCTGTGCCCAGCACTATTCAGGAAGAAAAATTGACAAATCCATTTATGCGAGTTCACGAACAATCTGTTATGGATCATACTGAACAAAAAGATCCAATTCAAACTATGGCATTTCTTAGAAGGGAAAAAGATAATTTTAAAGCATAAATTTATTATTGTTACAAAAAAATTAGTGGTGGTTACATAACTTTTTTAATCAATATAAAATATTCTTCCTACGTACAAATTTTCTATTTGTTTTATTTATAAAATTTTATTTCAATTTTCTATATATAAATATTGACATATGTGCAAATATATGATTATAAATTACGTATTTACAAATAATATTTATTTTAAATATAAATACTATGTTATATTTAAAGACATATGGTTTGGCATATCTTCCGATTTTTTATTATAAATTTGCATTTCAGCAACATATTTTTCTTTGGATCGTTCGTACATGTCATAATACACCTAGGAAAATATATATTATTTTATTTCTTTTCAAACAAATGTTCATATTTTGTTTTGTTTGTTGTATTTTGTTTGTTTATACAAACCTTTTTATCTTCTGAACTGAGAGATTTCCAAGTAGTTGCAAGTTGTCTAGTAAGTTCTTGTTTGCTTGGTTCTGGTTCTCCAGCTAATCTTTCCATAACTCGAGGTCTTTGTTCTTGACAGAATTGAAAGAATGGATTTGCTGGTCTTTTTGGAGCATTAGGATCTGTCTTAGTGCCTTTTCGTTTTGTTCCTTTTTTAGTCTTTTCTTCTTTAGAATTATATGTAGTAGCTTTTGGACCTTTTTCTGGCTTAGGTGTTACTTGAAATACATTATTTTCTTCAAGAACTCCCATAGGTGCTTCTCTCCAACGATCACCATGTTGATCCAAGCGATCAATTAAAAATCTAAAATATAAAAAAAAATATTTTATGAAAACAACTCTAATGGTATATAATAAAATATAAAATAAATATATTATTTCAAATATAAATAAATAATAGATAAAATTGTAATAGTATTCAATACATAACCTAGAAATTGAACTAACTTTTTTTCCTTTCTTGTACGTTTGAGTAATTTTCTAACTCGCTGGATACGATAAACCAATCTTTCATTTTCCTATAATTAAAGAATGAATAATTTCATTTTCCGTGATTAAATTATTATATATGGAATGCAGAAAATTAAAATCAAAACCTGTTGTAAAACTTCACATCTATCTAATAGTAATTGATATTTTCGTTTATAAATATCAAACTCTTCTGGTTCTACATCATATTCTGATTCGTCTGACATTTTAAATACACAGTTTTAATTAAATAATATCAATATTTTTCACATTGTTTTTATATCATGTCGATAGATTTAACACATTTATTTACCATAATACAATAGTAATATGATAGATGCCGCTAGTATAAATACTTTTCAATAAGTTAATAAGTTTATTTATAAATTAAAAAAATATTAATTATATTATTAATTTCTATAAATTATATATATTTTATTAATTTATTAAAGATAATGTATTTCTCATTATATTCAATTAATATTTGAAATTAATAAAAATTTAAAGTCATAAAAAACTATGTCCTCGTATAGATACATTGTAAAGCTGAAAAAACAATATTTATATTTTTTACGTTAAAGATTAATACATGTAGTTTCGAAGAAAAAATGATGAAGAGCGTTCCTCCTGTATCTTGTCAGTAACACGCGGCAGATACAAGGACAATAAAGACAAGCAAATAATAGCAGAAGGATAGAGATAGAGATAGAGTAAAAATTCGGGAATCAACGCCATCTTCAGAATGCTGCAAATGAAACTTAAATATAGACAAGGAAAGTAAATAATAAAAGAAGAATAGAGATAGAGAATTGATCATTATCGCCATCTCTTGTTACAAATCTTTTTAAAAGTATAAAAGAATACCAAAAGATGGTAATAATACTCAATTCTTATTCTGCTTTATTGTCTTTGAAAAGATTTTTGATTCAAGAGATGGCGTTAATGATCAATTTTTATCCTATTTTTATTTTTATATAATTTTCTATCCTTTTTTTATTTTCATTTGTGGCATTTTAGAAATGGCCTTGATTTCAATAATTTGATTCTATCTTTGTCCTTCTCTTATTATTTGCTCATTCATCTATACTCGATGATAACAATGGAATTTAAACAAATGAAAAATTGACAATGAAAAAAGTAAGAAAGGAGTAAGAATTTTGAAGCATTCTATTGAAAAACGATGCTATCAAAGATTCATTTATCGAACTTATTCTTCGTAATTTTATATTGAATTTGATTTGAATTCCACCCATTATTCATGTTGCAAATTTATTTTGAGTCGAATCGGTAACATTGAAAATGATATTAAAATGGTAAAGAGATTCTTCAAAACATGGGACAAAAAAATGCATTGAATGTTAAATCTATTCTGTATTTCGTTTATGCTAGTATTAAATAATATATTATATTTTGAATATTAATTTAAATAGAAATATTTAAATAGAAATTAGAATTGCAGAAAAAAATTGTATTTCTACATTTTAAATATTATTATGAATTATTATTATATAATTTTTTTATTATTTATAATTAAATTTCTAACAAAATAAATAATATTTGAAATAAACTATTTCATTATCATTTAAGAATAAATTAATTAGATATGAAGAAATAATAAAAAAAGAATACCAATTATAATTGTATTTTATTCCCTACTTTGCACCCTGAATCGTGTCGTCCCTGACTCTTAAAGCGACCAATGAAAGTTGTGAAAGAAGGGTTGCGTCGATACACATGCGCAACTAATCACAATTCACCCTGGACTTGAGACACAGTCAAAACACGTATCGTTCTCCCTATCGCGTTATTCCTTTCTTTAGTCGCTTCTCGAAATTTCGCATTTTACATTCTAGTATCAAAACTAGCTTGTCTTTCTTGTGTCGATTATTGTGTCACTTGTTTCACCTATCTTTATATCAACATTTTTCCTTAAGTTCTATTTACATCTTTCGTGTGCTATTATATTTTTTTGTCAATTAGTTGTAAGTTATTGTTTCCCGCGCGTACTATGGAGTGCGTCGCAGTTTTTTAGCATTCGCTCCAGCTTTGCAGATCGACTTTTGGTGAGTACCATATAAATTATTTTATTCATTAACAAATACCGAGAATAAGACATTAGATAAGATTTAATCGCGTGCGTAGAAATAGGTAGAAGGGGTTTTAACGCAGCACGCGCGTGCGAAAGAGCTTGCTCACGAGATCAATAGCAGCCATTGCGGTTATGGTAACACGATCAGCTGATCAGCTGACGCTTATTTTGTTTACAATTATTATACAATTATTATTAATATATTTAAACATAACAGGTTAACATTCTTATTTTGGTAACAATGTATGCTACAGACTTTTTATTTTTTAAATAAAGAGATTTAAAAAAATTTTTTTCAAAATTTTTCAAAATATTTTTATTTACTTTTATTTAAGAAAAATAAAAATTTAATTAAAATATTTTAAAAATTATCTTTGTTTCAAATAGAAACAATTTTCTTTAAAATTATTACTTTGTTTTGGATAATTAATATTTCTTATTATTGTACATGAAATTATTGTTTTTGTTAAATAATTGATCGTAAAATTCAAATAGATAATATAATTTCGTTACTCAAAATAGATATGTTACTGTGACTATTAGTTCATGACATTTAACGGCTTCTTGTTAAGTTTAGACACGTTATATTTGTATCACTAATTCGGTATGATTGTAAGATGAAATGAATCGATACAGTATATCCATAACACATGAACTTCAATTAAATTTACACATAAGTTTATAATATAAATGATTTTAAAATATTTTAATCATATTCATTTATTTTAAGAATAACAATTAAAAAATAGAATTTTAAACAATAAAATAAATTAAATATAATAAT